TGTGAACTGGTGGCTTGAATTCAGCAGATACAAATATATACATTATTTATGGGCAGATTTTGTCATAAACTTTTCAGTAAATTGTGTAAATACAGCATAAGTACAGCCCCAACTGGTATATGATTATACATAAATGAGGAAATTAACTAGCAAGGATCCTTCCTGACTATATTGCTTCTCCTAAAAATCCTCTTAAAGTCAGTAATTCTAGTCCAAGTTAATGTAATCATTGCAGAATTGTTTTTGTTTTTCACTTGACAACTATTTATTGGACAGCTATTCATCACTTTCACAAATAGAGGCTGAAAGCTGTTCTGTCTCAGACACTCAGCCAAGTGCTATACAGTTTGCAGTGTTGGTTGCTCAGTTGTGTCAAACTCTTTGCAACCCCATGGATACAAAGAAAGTTTAAAAAATTTTTAACTTTAAGAAATCTTTAAGAAGAGTCTTTATGAAAGTTTAAAAATATAAGATTAATAGTTATGATATACACTTACATATTCTAAGAATAGAATTTTGGCATTACAACAGAAGTATAAAAATTACTTTAAGGGAAAAAGTTATGTTGAAATTGCAGAGACATTTAGAAAATTGCTATGTAGGAAATAATTAATATGAAATCACTCTACTTCATCATGTTAAGGTTAATATGTAATTGACTACTAAAAACAGATTACCCTTCTTTAAAATTTTCAATTTTAACACATATATTAAGTATTAATATTTTAATAATTATTGGCATTAATAACAATTATTATTAGCTAATTAAAACAACTATGCATATGGAACATAGGGAAAAACAGGAAAAATAGTTATGTGGCAATTAGAAGAGGTATGTGTTAAAAGACATAAAAATCAATTTTATTCAGAAACATAAAATAGTAAAGCCTTGAAGATTTCATTTCTGTCTTCTTTGTCAGCTGCTTTTCAAATTTGATTGTGTTCATTGGTCAAAGACTTCTTATCTTTAAATTGCTGACTCAACTTTGCAGCCTGAGTTGCTTTCATTATCATTAGAAATTTGGCTTTGCAATAAAGATGAGGCTGACTATTTTGTGGTTGATGGATGAAGGGAAATGGAATCCTTCAACCCTAGAGATGAATACTTCAGACACCCTGGAAATTGGATACAGCTTAATAGCCCAAGAGAACAATTTTCAGAATAGAATTCTGATATTTTCCCCATGGATAAATCAGCTTTACTAAGCTAAGAGTGGTAGAAATGTATTTTGGCTAGCAAGTGTATAGTTAGAAATTCATAGACTACAAAAATCTTCCTGAAATGTGGTTGGAAAATAGATATTTTGAAAATAAGATCTTAGTATTAAAAACACCTCTAGAAGAAAGATCAATTCAGTTTTACAGTCTGTCCTAGGAATACAATAATCAGCTACTCCAGAGCAATGGTTGAGCATACTTTGGAATAGTTCTAACCTTAAAGGAGACTTTAAAAATGGGTTTCCTTTATCTTCAGCACATCAAAGTGGAGACAGAGTGTGTGGAAGAAGCTGAGATATATGAAGGTGATCTATCTCGGGATAATTTTATAGTAAATTGGTCTCAATCCTTTAATATATTGAATAATATTATATTGAATATATTGAATAATAGCCTGGTGGCTCAGATGGAAAAGAATATACCTGCAATATAGGAGAACTGGCTTTGATCCCTGGGTCAGGAAAATCCTTTGGAGAAGGAAATTGCAACCCACTCTAGTATTTTTGCCTTGAAAATTCCATGGACGAGAAGCCCGGTGGGCTACAGTCCAAGGGGTCACGAGGAGTTGGAAACTACTGAGCCATTAACACTCTCACTGTCACTTTTACTATGTTCTTGAACATGCTTTACATGTATTATTTTACTTAATAATCACAGCAGCTCTGTCCTAGATGGACTGTTCACAAACCCATTATGCAGATGAGGAAGCTGAAGAACAGATTGTGACTTACCCAACTAACACAGTTATTTGGGAACAGCAACTCTATTGTAACCTAAGCACTCAAGACTCCAGAGCTAGTGCTTCAAGCACTGTACTAAATAATTAGTGGAAAGCAAGTAAAAGAACAGACTCAAAAACAGGCAAAGGTCTTTGGCAGAAAGTTCACAAATCATTACTGTGCAGTTCCATTACTCTTTCTTCTTATTTGACCTTTACTGTCAGTTTACTCCAATGCATAAATTTGGGACATGTATTCAATTATCTCAACACTTTCTTTTTTCAGAGCAGACAAGATATCTTTGTGTCCCTGGTATATAGTTTTTAATAAGACCAGAGACTTTCCATATATTCTTGAATTTTTAATAATTTTGGTTTGCTGCACTGAAGACTCACAGAATGGTTTCAAAGTCAGTGTGGACTGTTGTCTCTCATTTGCCCCCCATTGACCTTTAGGTGTTAAATAAAAGCAGAATGGTGAAGTTGGGAAGGGTGTTTAGTAGTCACACTGAGTTGATATAATGTCATTACTACAGAAAGTGATGGCATCACCAACTCAATGGACATGAGTTTGGGTAAACTCCGGGAGTTGGTGATGGACAGGGAGTCCTGGCGTGCTGCAGTCTATGGGGTCGCAGAGTCAGACATGACTAAGCGACTGAACTGAACAGAGAGTGAATGTACCTTCAGCATGAGGGAATCAATGGATCCTATTTTCCCTCCTAAGTTCCCAAAATCATTTAAACACTTTGGAAAGTACATGCAGACTTTTCAGGGTACTTTTGATTACCCACATAAGGAAGTGATTAGGTCTTTAGTCAAATACAACCTAATGAGTTATATAATAGGGTAATAAATCATTTATTACATAACTATTAAATGCCTTGCATTGTACTAGATCCTGTGAGAGAATACAGACATACAGAACATTCCTGTAAGCTAAATAGGTAAAAATTGTTCATAAATTGCTTTTGTGATATTTTGTGCCTATAAAGTCTAATTAATTAATAATAAAATACACATTTTCATAAATTCAAAAAACCTAAATGTTGTTAATGAAAAGCATATAATATTTTTTATAAATTTCATGAAGAGAGAAATATTCCATTAAAATCTATTAGATGAACTTTTTCTTTAAAGCTACAGTCAAGAGTTTTATTAGTATCTCTATCACATTGTTTTTTTGTAACTTATAAGTGTCCTTACTTTGTGTTTTACCAAGTTCTGCTTTCAGGTTGTAAACTTGTTCACAGAGGCTGTATTGAATTAAAATTTCTGATTTGCACATCACCCAGAATAAACCAGCAGTGGCTTTTTTAAGAATAGACCAACAATGATGAGAATATTCTCTGTATTCAAGTCTATAGTCTTTCTGCTGTCTTGCAGAGAGAGTGTTTCTCTGAGCCATTTTGTATTTATTCCCTTGGAAAACAATGTGGTGTCTGGAGATGACGGAGACTGTAAGACACCAAGTCTCATGAGCACAGATGGAAATGTGAACAGGAAACCAGTGGAGAATTAATTGTGTGGCATCTGGCACTGGGGTCTCGCAGAGGCAAACAAGCCATTTCACCACTGCCTTTTGAGAAGATAGAGTTGCCCCCTGAAAACAAAGGTGGAAAACAAGAGTCCCTCATTCTTTTACCCACTACAAATGATTCATTGTTAACAGCTGCTAATGGCAAAAGGGACTTCAATTACCCAGTGTATCTAGGATAGAAAAGGAAATAACATCCTTTCCATTTACCCAGATGCCACACAAATGGGAAATTTTCCACTGTTACATCGAAATGTGGTTATATAATCAACATTCTTTTGGTTTTCGAGTTTTTCTTTGGTTTCTCTTTTTGTGCCCTTCTACACAATTGTGTCTCTGTCACTATTGTCTCAACAGAAAACCCCTACCACTAAATGTCTCTCTTCCTGCGTTCTATTCCAGGCTAAGGCAGAGGTCACTTTGCCTGGAGAGGGGATTGATTTCTCTTAGAAGAAGTTTCAAAGAAACAGCATCAGCTGTTACATTCTCATTCATCACAAAAACGAAGATGGGGAAAAAAAAAACTGCTGATGTGTTTAGGAAAGACAGAGACCAACTGTGGTTGGAGAACTGGAATCTGAATAGCCTTGATATACTAGTTAACATACAGGAAAGTATAGTTTTTTGTAAATAAGACTTGAGCATCCCCATGGGATTATTTCTAGTCAAAATGCTTTCTGACAAGTGAGCATGGCTGTTCTGGGAGCCAGTGTGTACTGCCAGAGGAGGGAAGCTGGGAATTGGAGATGTGAAATTTGCTGGTTCAGACTATTGGCTCCATATATCAACTGTTGTCCAGAATGAAAGGAGCTACTGACAATGCAATCTTTCTTTGGTCCTGAAGTTTGATTGATTGACTGACCAAGTTGAAAGCAAAAATTTGCTGCCAGTGGGGAGGAGGACAAACCTGAGGTCCCAAGCAAAGTTTTGTTTAGGACACTTAGAGGTTACTAAATTACAGAGGTTGATTTTTTTTTCTACTTATTTTTCAACTAGTGGAAACATTTATTTAAGGACTATGAGATTTATATTCTAATTTCAGTATTATCATCTAATTGTGTGATTATGAGAAAGTAATATATATTGTCTCTGAACTTTCTTGTGGATAAAACTGAGCAGCTTGGGTTAAATCAACACTGGGGTCCTTCTAGTTGTAACACGATCATTCTAGTTTTAGTATCATATTCATTATAGGATTTGGCCATTAGAAAATACACATTAAATTAAAACTAGACTCCCTGTTTACTACACTGTGTCACATTCCCAGATATCTGAAGCAACACCATTTGGATAACAATGATATTTTGGTTGTTGTTTTTCTAACAATTGGATAAAAATATGTTGGTGGAGTAGGTAGAAAATAAATACCTAACTTCAGCAACTTAATAGCTGATTGCTTAAGAGCTGAAAATGAAAACAAAGGAAGATAAATAGCTCTTTGCCTCAGACACTGGCATTTGTGACTTGCTAGGTTGGCAGACTGAACACATCTAGAGTAAAAGTGCATCAAGAATGATTGATTAATACCTTCTATGGCAAATGGCTTCCCCACAGTTAGAAGTTTGCAGTCAGCATCTACTGACACTTCGTAGTCCAGAAGGGCTTTGTCCATGATGAAGGCATCTAGTTTCTCTGGATCATTCCTGTGTTTAAGACCAAAATAAGAAAAGTGGAAAATGATTCATTAATAGACAGGAAACACCAAGTCTGACAGCTAGCTTTTGTTTAGGGAGCAGACATCTGACAGTAAGGGCAGTGCAGCCTGGGCAGCTGCTGGCTCTGCCTTGGTGACATCTCACTGACCTGCAGAGAGCAGACCAGGGGAAACAGACGCTCTTAACAGAGAGCACGACATCTATCCAGGGGTTCTAAATTGAACAACAAAACCAGAGCGACCCTGAATTGAGTGCAAAGATAAATAGTCAAGGTTCATTTCTCGTACATTAACTGAATGACCATTTTTTCTTTTTGGTCGTGCTACATGTAGGATCTCAGTTTCCCAACCAGGGATCAAACTGTCCCTGTGGTGGAAGTGCAGAGTCAACCCACTGGACCACTGAATGAAGTCCTCCAAATGACTTCTTGGTGTAGGCATTATATTTATTGTTCTCCATGCCCTTTATAATGACCCTGAAGAGGGAGGTGGGCTTCCCTGGTAGCTCAGATGGTAAAGAATCTGCCTGTAATGCAGGAGACCCAGGTTCAATCCCTGAGTTGGGAAGGTCCCCTGGAGAAGGAAATGACAACCCACTCCAGTATTCTTGCCTGGGAAATCCCATGTCCATGGGGTTGCAAAGAGTCAGACATGACTGCACGACTATCACTTTCATTTTCACTTGAAGGGGGTGTTAGTATCCTATTTTAACAAGTGAAGGAATTGAGGTTCAGAGAGTTGAAATAAGTTGATCTAGTTCACAAGCCAGTAAGTGTTGGAGCTAGGCGATCTCATTAATCAATATGTGAAAATTCTTCATTCTTTCTGTCATGATCACTGTCATATTCTCCAGAGATCAGGCATTATTTTACACTTGGGAGTACATAATAAAGAAGTGCAAATAAGAGATCCAGCACTCTTGGGGAAAAAAGAGTTCAGGTCTCTAAAGTCCATAGCTGATGTTTAATAAATGGAAGAGGAAGCATATGTAAATCAGGTCTTTGTGGTTTGATTTATTAATATAATTCCAGAGATTCATGTTTCACTCCCATCCCAGGAGACAGTTCAGGCAAAAATCATTTAAAGGCAAGTATTTCTGGACTGTAACAGTGAATTGGCTGTGGGCTGGGCTCAAGATAGCAACAGACACTTTGTGCATCCTTTTTGTATTCTCCCCCATTTTTTAACATAGGCGCAGAAATGGTCCCCAGGAAGGTGGTCAGCACCAGTTGAGCTCCACTTACAAAGGAGGCAAGGGAGAATGAGTTTCAAAGGGAACTATTTAAGGTATATGCAAATGGCTCTTTGTTTTCAGCTATCTCAATAATTTTTGGAAAGGTAATAAAACATTTAATAAAGCCTTTTTGACCCTCAGGGTTGTCTAATGAGCTTGGTAAAGAGAACAACTCTTCTCTGTTCTATCTGGGTCCAGTCCTTCCTCTCTTAGAACCAAAAATGAGGCTATTGGAATTCAGTACAGAGGGGTAGATTCTAAACTCAGAGGAGAATATTGGGCCATAAAAAATCTAAAAGAGAAGGACACCACTAAACACCTCTAAGATTCATCATTGAGCAGCAAGTACCTTTATGATTGGTTTGTCTGACACACACTGACATATATTGAGTAGGTCAGCTTCCCTTCTTGGTGCCAATGACCATCACTTCCTCTTTATACTCTTCCAGAAAGTGAAATAGCCACTTCAAAATGAATAATATAAAAAAAAATCTAAAAAAAAAGAATAATCTTTCCAGGGGTATTGGATTTGAGTTACAATGAAGCCTATGTTTCAGTTCAGTTGTGTCCGACTCTTTGCGACCCCATGGACTGCAGCAAGCCAGACTTCCCTGTCCATCACCAACTCCAGGAGTTTACTCAAACTCATGTCCATTGAGTCAGTGATGCCATCCAACCATCTCATCCTCTGTCAGCCCCTTCTCCTCCTGCCTTCAATTTTTCCCAGCATCAGGGTCTTTTCCAATGAGTCAGTTCTTTGTATCAGGTGGCCAAAGTATTGGAGTTTCAGCTTCAGCATCAGTCCTTCCAATGAATATTCAGGACTGATTTCCTTTAGGATGGACTGGTTGCATATCCTTGCTGTCCAAGGGACTCTCAAGAGTCTTCTCCAACACCACAGTTCAAAAGCATCAATTCTTTGGCACTCAGCTTTTGTTATAGTCCAACACTCACATCCACACATGACTACTGGAAAAACCATAGCTTTGACTAGATGGATCTTTGTTGGCAAAGTAAAGTCTCTGCTTTTTAATATGCTATCTAGGTTGGTCATAACTTTTCTTCCAAGGAGTAAGTGTCTTTTAATTTCTGGATGCAGTGACCATCTGCAGAGACTTTGGAGCCCCCAAAAATAGTCTGTCACTGTTTCCATTGTTTCCCCATCTATTGGCCATGAAATGATGGGACCAGATGCTGTGATCTTAGTTTTCTTAATGTTGAGTTTTAAGCCACTTTTTCACTCTCACTTTTCACTTTCATCAAGAGACTCTAGTTCTTCTTCACTTTCTGCCATAAGACTTGTGTCATCTGCATATCTGGGATTATTGATATTTCTCNCTAAGGCCTACTTGACTTCACATTCCAGGATGTCTGGCTTTAGATGAGTGATCACACCATCATGATTATCTGGGTCATGAAGATCCTTTTTGTACAGTTCTTCTGTGCATTCTTGCAACCTCTTCTTAATATCTTCTGCTTCTGTTAGGTCCATACCATTTCTGTCCTTTATTGTGCCCATCTTTGCATGAAATGTTCCCTTGGTAACTCTAATTTTCTTGAAGACATCTCTAGTCTTTCCCATTCTATTGTTTTCCTCTGTTTCTTTGCGTTGATCACTGAGGAAGGCTTTCTTTTCTCTCCTTGCTATTTCTTTGGAACTCTGCATTCAAATGGGTATATCTTTCCTTTTCTCCTTCGCTTTTCACTTCTCTTCTTTTCACAGCTATTTGTAAGGTCTCCTCAGACAACCATTTTGCCTTTCTGCATTTTTTTCTTTGGGAAGGTCTTGATCACTGCCTCCTGTACAATGTCACGAACCTTCATCCATAGTTCTTCAGGCACTCTGTCAGATCTAATCCCTTGAATCTATTTCTCACTTCCACTATATAATCTTAAGGGATTTGATTTAGCTCATACCTGAATGGTCTAGTGGTTTTCCCTACTTTTTTCAATTTAAGTCTGAATTTGGCAATAACGAGTTCATGATCTGATCCACACTTAGCTCCCAGTCTTATTTTTGCTAACCCTATAGAGCTTCTCCATCTTTGGCTGCAAAGAATGTAATCCATCTGATTTCAGTATTGACCATCTGGTGATGTCCATGTGTAGAGTCTTCTCTTGTGTTGCTGGAAGAGGGTGTTTGCTATGACCAGTGTGTTCTTATGACAAAACTCTATTAGCCTTTGCCCTGCTTCATTCTGTACTCCAAGGCCAAATTTGCCTGTTACTCCAGGTATCTTTTGACTTTCTACTTTTGCATTCCAGTCCGCATAACAAAAAGAACATTTTTTTTGTGTGTGTGTGTTAGTTCCAGAAGGTCTTGAAGGTCTTCATAGAACTGTTCAACTTCAGCTTCTTCAGCATTACTGGTCAGGGATGAGATTTGGATTACTGTGATATTGAATGTTTGCCTTGGAAATGAACAGAGATCATTCTGTCGTCTTTGAGATTGCATCCAAGTACTGCATTTCAGACTCTTTTGTTGACTATGATGGCTACTCCATTTCTTCTAAGGGATTCTTGCCAACAGTAGTAGATATAATGGTCATCTGAGTTCAATTCACCCATTCTAGTCCATTTTAGTTTACTCATTCCTAAAATGTCGATGGTCACTCTTGCCATCTCCTGTTTGACCACTTCCAATTTGCCTTGATTTATGGACCTAACATTCCTGTTTCCTATTTAATATTGCTCTTTTCAGCATTGGACTTTACTTCCATCACCAGTAACATCCACAACTGGGTGTTGTTTTTGCTTTGTTGCATGTCTTCATTCTTTCTGGAGATATTTCTCCACTGATCTCCAGTAGCATATTGGGCACCTATTGACCTGGGGAGTTCATCTTTCAGTGTCCTATCTTTTGCCTTTTCATACTGTTCATGGGGTTCTCAAGGCAAGAATACCGAAGTGGTTTGCCATTCCCTTCTCCACTGGACCACATTTTGTCAGAATTCTTCCCGATGATCGTCCGTCTTGGATGGCCCTAGATGGCATGACTCATAGTTTCATTGAGTTATACAAGCCTGTTGTCCATGTGGTCAGATTGGTTAGTTTTCTGTGATTGTGATTTTCAGTCTGTCTGCCCTCTGATGGAGTAGGACAAGAGGCTTATAGAAGCTTCCTGATGGGAGAGACTGACTTAAGGGGTCTTGTTCTGATGGGCAGGGCCATGCTCATAAATCTTTTTTACTATGTTTAACTTCAACCAAAATGAAAAACATCTTTCAGCTCCAGAGCTGTGGGAAGCTTCAGAAAGGGCTTAGTATATGAAATGTATCCTGGAAGCTGAGGATTAGAAACCTTAATGGAATCCTGGCAGTAAAATAAAAATCAAGCTGAAAGGTATTTCTCTAATGAAAGCTTTATTCTCACAGTACCAAAATGTACCTTGGGAGCTACACAGGACCAAGTTACCATTTACTAATGCTCTGTAAATATTTGTGGCAGCAATAAGAGTACAAAGAGTTAGGGCTCAGCTTTTCTAACCAGTACTTCCTGTGGTCCATCTGAGTGGTATCCCTAAATAACTCCTCATGAGTTTGAATTGCAAAGTGAAGTTATCTATGGCAGGTCTCTGTTGCATAGGAAGGCAAGAAGCAATTAGCCAACAGACTCCCGTGGGGCCCTGAGTCACTGGTGAGGAAGTGGCAGGGTTTGATCCAGGTATAATGAGTTTCCAGACTGGCTGAATCATCCTTACAGTTGGCAGGGCCTACAGTTGTTTCTCCCATTATAAAATCATGCTGTCTTTTTGAACATTCATTTCATAACACATACACCACAAAACTAGTTATATATAAACATATAAAAATAAAGTAATTATTACTATAATAGGGATTCATTTATTGGAATACTGTCACTTCAAAAAGCAGGGTCCTAAGTGAGTTAGGATGAAGCTCAGGGAATCTGATGGGAGAGAGGAGGGACAGCGTTAACACAGGAACTTCTCTTTATAGGTGACTCCAGGGGTAGAGCCCTGTAGGTCATGGCACTGGTATGTCAGGGGGACCTTGGGGACCTTGGTTTTTTGGAGTAGTGAATAGGAGCATAGGCTGTATCTGGGCCAAAAGTGGAGAGAGAAGCTCAGAGGGAAGAAGGCAGAGAGCATTAATGATGACCTTTGTTCCAAAGTTACCTCAATCTGTAATTCACCTGGGGAGCTTGTTAAAATGCAGATTCTGTGATGGGACCTGAGAGTCTTCATTGCTCACACGCTCCCAGGTGCTACCTGCTACCTGGCTGTTGCTGGACTGTGGGCTGTACCTTGAACATCAAGGACCTGCTTTCCAGTTATAGTTCTCAGGCTAGCCTGCAGCAGTGGCTACAGTCTAAAGACATGGTTTTGGTCCTGAGTGCCGCTTGCTAGCTGTATTTCCATGGACAAGTTGATTCTTTCGGGCCTCAACTCCTTCACCTGTGCCTGTTTCCTAACAATTTCTTCTCTCCAGCTAGAGTGCGGCAAACTAAGCTCTCAGGCCTTGGAGGTGAATCCTCCAGAATAAATGAATACCCAGAGTGGAGTGGAACTGCTCCGTGGAAGCAGGGGCTTTTCTCAGCTTTCACACTGCCAGAAGGGCCTAATTTGTCACCCATTACTATTTGCGGCGGGGGGGGGGGGGGAGCCATCACTGTCTTCCTGACATCTTATTCTTTTTCCCAGCCATGGATTTCCCTGATGGAGAGGATAAAAAGGAGGTGTTGGGGGGCAAAGGAGCACTAAACTCTGTGTCAGAGAGGGACTCTAATGTTTTAAAGTTCTTACAAAATTGAAAGTGCCATTTCATAGTGTTTCACACTATATATACCTGTGAAAATCTGAGAACACTGTTTCCTTTCTAGACTCTAGTTTAGTCCATAAAATTGTTTTCAGGGCTTATTACTAGAGTTTTTGAGAAATACAGAGCACTTATGTCCCATAAAATTATGTACTTCCCTTCTTTCTTAAAAAGAATTTGAGGTGCCAAGTCTTGCTGTCATTGGGGAGATAATTGTGTTTGATGATAGAGAAACCAGTTTTCTGGTACTGCACGATTGTAGGGATTGGAGTTTGAATGTACGTTATTGTCCTGAGACCATCAGGCAGGAGGGGGAGGACTGCTTGCTCGCATGCTGTGGCACTTATCAGGAGCCATTCATCCCCTTCTCCCAGGCAGACTAGTTGAGCAGACCCAGAGATGCACCATCCTCCTTTGCATTCAGTTTCCCTGAATTATAGCTCTGATAATCTGCCATGGCAATGTGATTGCTCTTGATTGCTTCTCATAAATTCTGATGAGAAGGATGCAGGCATGGGAATCATTGCCTTTTATCTTATTTCTTTTCTACAGGAAATCTCTAAGATAAATCCCGCTTCCTTGTGGCAAGAGGAGACAGTTCACAGGCTTAGAGATTCACTGTGAAGGAAAGGGTTGCTTTGGGACACTTTATCCTCTGGCCACATTCCCTGAGTGTTTGATCGTTTCAGCACCATTATTTTCCCAAGTGATGTCAAGCCAACGTTAACTTCCCCCACCATCTGCTACACTACTGACCCTACTGGCATTTTGATCAAAGCTACTGCCAGCTTGGGACTGTGGAGGTAACTAGAAAACTAGGTCACATAATTAAATGCACATTTATTCCATACTGTCTCCTGGATCTCACATGGTGTGAGGTATTATGGAACACACAATGGGTATATTTAGATAACATTAAAAAAAAACCCCAAAAAACATTACATCAGTAACAAGACTTCTTTTTCATTGAGGACTTTTTGGACTGAGGAGGTTGACACTCACTTTAGATATGCCACTCCATCCAGGGTGGCTGGTACATTGTACCTTCTCATATACTCATGCATCTCTGGGAAGCTTTGCCTCACATAGTCTTCAGCACTGCTCTCCCGGACAGTTCCAAAACGGAAGCCTTGAGAGGGATGATGTAGCTATGAGGCAGAAAAAGAAATGTCTTGAATTAAAATTATTCCTAGAGTTGTTTTCAAATTTTTCTTTTTCTATCATTCTTTTGAGTCTTATAATGACCTTGAATTTTTCAAACACAGTCATAAACATAAATTTCCATGTGCCAACATAGGTACATGCTCTTTCATACCAGCTTTCACATAAATAAATGTTCTATCTTCACACAAGTAACTAGTCTTTCTTCAGAAGCAAACAGATGAAAACAACAAATAGAAAATATAAAACAGCTTTCTTCTTTATATTGAGAGCCTGTCAGAATTCTTTAGAAATTATAAAATGACATATGAAATCAACCTTGGTAATCATATTATAAATTGCTTATTAGGCAAAGCATAAAGTTAAAATAATAAATTAAAGATTGTGCCCTTCCTTGATTAGAACTACACAAAGGCCAAGTCAAAATTCTGCAACCTGAGATCAAAATATACATGACCCCAAACCATGAATTCACCTCTTTTATGTTTATTAGTCTTTATGCTGTAGTATTAAGTTCATTGAATTTATTTTTGGTATAATTATGAAATGATCTCTTTCCCTTAGATAACTCTGTTATCCAGTGCTGAGTCATATTGCATATTTTTTCAAATAGAATGGTATGTAAGACAATTAGGAGCAACAGGGGAGGTGGCTAGCAGGAGTAGATCCAGTAATGTCATGGTTCTCCAGGATGCAAGGCCTCACAGTGAGGAGAGGTATTAAGATATAGTACATGAAACAGTATAATTCATGGAAGTTGCACAGAAGTGTTAATACAGGATCTAGAGTTATTTCAAATAAAAGAATCAACTCGGGTTTTTTTTTCTTTTTTTTTAAAGTTGTTTACACACCTACAGATAAAGAAATCACTGAATTTGGTAAGAAACAATTTATATTTGAAGATTAATTAGTTTTGACACAGCAAAGGGTCTAACAATATGGCAATAAATTATTTGCCACATCCTTATAGAATGTTATCTAATGTATAAATCATGTTTTTAAAGCATATTTAATAAAACAAAGCAAATGCTCATATGACAAATGAAGAAAAGGCTCTTGTATGGTCTGATCAAAGTTAAATATGTATATAGTTATTTCAAGGGCTTCCCAGGTGGTGTAGTGGTAAAGAATCTGCCTGCCAATGCAGGAGATGTGGGTTTGATCCCTGGGTCAAGAAGATCCCCTGGAGAAGGAAATGGCAACCCACTCCAGTATTCTTGCCTGGAGAATTCCATGGATAGAGGAGCTATCCCATGGAACAGGGAATGTATCCCAGATACAGAGTTAACCCACTGTAACTGGTGGGTTACAGTCCATGGGGTTTCAAAGAGTTGGACACAACTGAGCATGCATACATTCATAATTATTTTAAATACTGTGGCTCCCTCATATATATCATATATACACATGTACACACACACACACACACACCCCTGGGAAGGAAATATATGAAGATATTAACAATGGTTGTTCCATATATTTATTTATAGATTGGCTAAAGAAACATGCCTCATGTTTGTAAGTTAAAAAACTACATTCAATTAAGCAAGTCATTAAATTATGTCAATATTTTTCTGGGGGGAAGCTTTGCATAATTTTCAGAGTTACTGGGCCCACAAAGGTAAATACCTACAATCATTGCCACAAAGTGACTTACCACCTGCTTTGTGATATTTCTTTGGCTATCTCATTGTTGAACAGGCTGTATGGCATAAACTTGTGTTCAATTGTTCACACACTGGATAAATTCTAATGTTTTATGCCAGCATAACCTTAATGAGGCATCAATAATAATAATGGCTAGCATTTATTGATTTTTATGTGCTAACTGATGTTTATCTACATTATCTTGATTAATCCTCATAAAAACCTGATTAATCCTTATAAAAACCTCATAAAAAGGACTTTAGTAATACTTCTTTTTTAAGGATTAATCAACTAGAAGCTCAGTGAAATGTAGCAAGTAATAGTAAGTAATAAAAGTAGTAAGATCACCCAGCTAGAAGTAGTAGGGATTGGATTAGAACCTATGTCTGTTTCACTTCAAAGTCCACACTATTACCGACCACATTACCCTGCCTTCCAGGTCATGGCAGCAAATGGAGAGAAGATGTTTATTAGAACAAACTCACTAGTCTTTTAAAATATTCTCCTTAAGCCTTAGGCCTAGGCTGTTCTTACAGTAGCAGATTGCAACCCTATGGCTTGATCAAGGCAAACTTATCAGCATTCTCTTTATCCAACAGCTATTCATTTTTGAAAGCCTAGATCAAGACTCTGTCTGAAATCTTTGGCCTTATCGAATTTCACCCTCCTATCCAGGAAGAACAAAAATAAAAATAATTTACTGCCTCTTTATCTGTGCTGAGACAGCACGTTGTACATACATAAAATGTAGGCTAGGTACTTACTTAGCCATTTTTTACACTTTTCATACATTTCTCCTTTGTCTCTCCCAATAAACTTATGAGGTATTTCTATTATCAATTCCTTTTATAAATAAAGGAACTGAAGATTAGAAAGTTTGTTATTTGCCCAAGACCACAGAGCTAGTAAATGTTGAATGTGGAATATGAACCCAGATAGTCTGATAGAAACGAACAGAGATCGTTCTGTCGGTTTTGAGATTGCATCCAAGCACTGCATTTCAGACTCTTTTGTTGATTATGATGGCTACTCCATTTCTTCTAAGGGATTCTTGCCAACAGTAGTAGATATAATGGTCATCTGAGTTCAATTCACCCATTCCAGTCCATTTTAGTTCACTCATTCCTAAAATGTCGATGGTCACTCTTGTCATCTCCTGTTTGACCACTTCCAATTTGCCTTGATTTATGGACCCAACATTCCAGGTTCCTATGCAGTATTGCTCTTTACAGCGTTGGGCTTTACTTCCATCACCAGCCACGCCCACAACTGGGTGTTTTTTTTGCTTTGGCTCCATCTCTTTGTTCTTTCTGGAGTTATTCCTCCATTGATCTCCAGTAGCATATTGGGCACCTATTGACCTGGGGAGTTCATCTTTCAGTGTCCTATCTTTGCCTTTTCATACTGTTCATGGGGTTCTCAAGGCAAGAATACTGAAGTGGTTTGCCATTCCCTTCTTCAGTAGATCACATTTTGTCTGAACTCTCCCCTATGCCCCATCTGTCTTGGATGGCTCTAGATGGCATGGCTCATAGTTTCATTGAGTTAGACAGGGCTGTGGTCCATGTGATCAGATTGGTTAGTTTTCTGTGATTGTGGTTTTCAGTCTGTCTGCCCTCTGATGAAGAAGGATAAGAGGCTATGGAAGCTTCCTGATGGGAGAGACTTACTGAGGGGGAAACTGGGTCTTGTTCTGATGGGTGGGGCTGTGCTCAATAAATCTTTAATTCAATTTTCTGTTGATGGGTGGAGCTGTGTTCCCTCCCTGCTATTTACTGGGGCCAAACTATGGTGGAGGTAATGAAGATAATGGCAACCTTCTTCAAAAGATCCCACGCATGTACCGCTACACTCACTGCCCTCAACCCTGTAGCAGGTCACCACCGACCCATGCCTCCACTGGAGACTCCTGGACACTCAATGGGCAAGTCTGGGTCAGTCTCTTGTGGGGTCACTGCTCATTTCTCCTGGACCCTGGTGTGCACAAAGTTCTGTTTGTGCCCTCCAAGAGTCTATTTCCTAGTCCTGTGTAAGTTCTGGCAGCTCTATGGTGGGGTTAATGGCGACCTCCTCCAAGAAGGCTTATGCCATACCCAAGTCTGCTGCACCAGAGCCCCGTCCCTGTGGCAGTCCACTGCTGACCCGTACCTCCACTGGAGATGCTCAAACACAGTTCTGTCTCAGTCTCTGTGGGGTCCCTGGATCCTGGTGTGCAAAAGGTTTGTTTGAGCCTTCTGAGCATCTCTGGTGGGAATGGGGTTTGATTCTAAAGGTGAATTCGCCCCTCCTACCATCTTGCTGGGACTTCTGCATTGCCCTGGGACATGGGGTATCTCTTCACAGCCCCTCCAGGGCCTACCATCTTGCTGGGGTTTCTCTGACCTTGGGTGTGGGGTATCTCCTCACAGCCGCTCCAGCGAACTGCAGCCACAGATCCTGACCTTGGGCGTGGGGTATCACCTATTTCAATATCACAGTAATCCAAGTCTATGCCCCAACCTGTAATGCTGAAGAAGCTGAAGTTGAACAGTTCTATGAAGATCTACAAGACCTTTTGGAACTAACACCAAACAAAACAAAACAAACAAACAAACAAAAAACCATGTCCTTTTCATCCTAGGGGACTGGAATGCAAAAGTAGGAAGTCAAGAGATACCTGGAGTAACAGGAAAATTTAGCCTTGGAGTACAGAATGAATCAGGGCAATGGCTAATAGAGTTTTGCCATAAGAACACACTGGTCATAGCAAACACCCTCTTCCAGCAACACAAGAGAAGACTCTACACATGGATATTACCTGATGGTCAATACTGAAATCAGATGGATTATATTCTTTGCAGTCAAAGTTGGAGAAGCTCTATACAGTCAGCAAAAAAAAAAGACTGGGAGCTGACTGTGGATCAGATCATAAACTCCTTATTGCCAAGTTCAGACTTAAATTGAAGAAAGTAGGGAAAACCACTAGACCATTCAGGTATGACCGAAATAAAATCCCTTAAGATTATACAGCAGAAGTGAAAAATAGATTCAAGGGATTAGATCTGATAGACAGAGTGCCTGATGAACTATGGATGGAGGTTCATGACACTGTACAAGAGACAGGGATCAAGACCATCCCCAAGAAAAAGAAATGCAAAAAAGCAAAATGTCTGTCTGAGGAGGCCTTACAAATAGGTATGAAAAGAAGAGAAGTGAAAGGTAAAGGAGAAAAGGAAAGATATACCCATTTGGATGCAGAGTTCCAAAGAATAGCAAGGAGAGATAAGAAAGACTTCCTCAGTGATCAATGCAAAGAAACAGGAAAACAGTAGAATGGGAAAGACTAGAGATCTCTTCAAGA